CCTCCTCTGTGGTTTTGCTCAAATTTTATCTTTCAAATGAGGCCTACCTTAACCACTCTGACACTGCAGTCAGGTGTTGCATAATAATGTTTGGTCAATGATGGACCACATGTATAAAGGTGGTCCCACAGATTGTAATGGTGCTGAAAATTCCTATTGTATTGCTTAGGGATGTCTTGGGGACTAATCCTGTGTAGGCTTAAGCTAATATATATGTTTGTGTCTTATTTGAAAAAGTAAAAAAGCAACTCAGACCTCAACTCCACAAAAAATTTAGCCAGGTGTTGTGGCTTGTGCCTGTAGTCCCAGCAGTTACTGAGGAGGCTGAGGTGGAAGGATTACTTGACCCTGGGAAGTCAAGGTTGTAGTGAGCCATGATTGCACTACTGCACTCCACCCTAGGCAACAGAGTGAGAATAAATAAGAAGAAAAAATATTTTTGTACAGTTGTACAGTGTGCTTGTGTTTTCAGCTAAGTGTTATTACAAAAGAGTAAAATATTTAACAAAATAAAAAAGTTACAGTAAGCTAGGGTTAATTTATATTTAAGAAACATTAAAAAAGAAACTGAGGAAGGGGGCAGAAAAAAACAAACTTAGTGTACCTTAAGAGTACAGAGTTTATAAAGTCTATAGTAATACACAGTAATGTTCTAGGCTTTCAAATTCACTCACCACTCACTGACACACCCAGAGCAATTTCCAGTCCTGCGAGCTCCATTCGTGGTACGTATACCATTCGTGGTGTGCCATTTTTATCTTTTCTATTGTATTTTTATTGGACCTTTTCTATGTTCAGATACGTTTAGATATACAAATACTTATTATTGTGTTAAAACTGCCTCAAGTATTCAGTATGGTAACATGTTGTATAGGTTTATAGCCTAGGTGCAATAGGTTATACCATACAGCTTAGGTGTGTAATAGGTATACCATCTAGATTTGTGTAACAAAACCTGCCCTCCCTATCCAATTGCCATCCCCTTGCATAGCTCTACTTTTTCTTCTTCCCTTCATACTTATTAGCTTATAATTTCCTTATGTTCATTCTGTCTGTATTGCCAAGCTTGCTCCATAAAGGCAAGCTTTGTCTGCTTTGTTCACAAATCTATCCCAGACTCTTAGAATAGTGTCTGCACATAGTAGTTACCTATAAGTATTTGATAAATGAATGTATATAGAGCACCTACTAGGTACTCTACTAAGTATTTTAAATATATAATCTTATCTAATTTTCATGGTAAACCTATAAGGTATGTAGTGATACCTAAAATTTAGATAAAGAAATTGATGTTAACAGAAGACAAATAGCCTGCCTATGGTTACATACTAGTGAAGCTTTTAGATCTGATCATGTCTAAAATTGCTTCAATGGTTCAATGCAATTTTGGATTTATCTTTTCTTATTCCTTTTTTTTTTAAGTAACATTTTTAAAAACTACAATAAAATAGGCCCGGTGTGGTGGCTCACACCTATAATTCCAGCAATTTGGGAGGCCCAGATGGGTGGATTGCTTGAGTCCAGGAGTTCAAGACCAGCCTGGGCAACATGGAGAAATCTCATCTCTATAAAAAGTTTAAGAAATAGGCCAGGCGTGGTGGCTCACACCTGTAATCCCAGCACTTTGGGAGGCCTAGGCAGGTGAGGTCAGGAGTTTGAGACCAGCCTGGCCAACATGGTGAAACTCCACCTCTACTAAAAATACAAAAACTAGCTGGGCATCGTGGTGTGCACCTGTAGTCCCAGTTACTCAGGAGGCTGAGGCCGGAGAATCACTTGAACCCAGGAGGTAGTGGTTGCAGTGAGCCGAGATTATGCCACTGCACTCTAGCCTAGGTGACAGAGCAAGAGTTTGTCTAAAAAAAATTTTTTTTAAAGAAATAGTTGAGCATTGTGGCATGTGCCTGCAGTACCAGCTGCTCAGAAGGCTAAGGTGGGAGGCTCTCTTGAGCCTAGGAGGCAGGGGTTGCAGTGAGCCCTGATCTCATCACTGCACTCCAGCCTGGGTGACAGAGTGAGACCCTGTCTCAAAAATAAAACCCCACAACGATCACAAAATATACTAAATGTTCACTGTGTTCTTTATAGAAGAATTTCAACTAATGCAGAAATAATTATAGAATTATAAAAAAAACATCAGTAAAACAACTTGAAAAGGATTAGTATGAGATTGACATCACTTCAATCCACAACTCAACTTTAAGCATAATTTAATGTGGAACAAGAATATTATTATGTTTGTGATATTCACACCACTGCCTAGGTATTCATGCTCCCCAAAACTTAATTTGAATTTATCAGTCCTCTAGTTCTAATTACCAGTTAACTAGAAATATGTGGAATTATAAAACAAGACACTATGATGAAGCAATCTGCTAAACACACAATGCAGATCATTCTTCAGGAAAGATTTCTTGAAAAAATCAATGACCATCTCCTTCCTTCCTCCCACAAAAAGGGTCTGTATGTGTCTAGGTGAAGGGCAGGCAGGAATGTTTGGGATAAGAGACACAAGAGACATAACCATATATACGTGTGAATTTTGTTTAGATCCTTATTCAAAAAGTGACTCGAGGCAATCAGAGAAAAGATATTAAGGAATAAGCTAATTTTATTAGGTGTGATAATGGCATAATGGTTTTTAAGGTACTTATCTGTTAGAAATTAATATTTAAGTATTTGTAGGTGGAATAATGTGATGTTTGGTTATCTGCTTTAAAATAATCCAGCCCTCCTTTTCCAATAAAAAGGAACAGAGGAAATGAGATTGGCAAAATTCATATTGTTAAAGCCGAGCAGGAGGTAGATAAGTTATATATTTGTATACTACTGCCTCTTATATTTTCATATATTTTTGTATATTTTGAAAATTTCCATAATAGTTTTCTTTCTTTTTTTTTTGAGATGGAGTTTCACTTGTTACCCAGGCTGGAGTGCAATGGCGCGATCTCGGCTCACTGCAACCTCCGCCTCCTGGGTTCAGGCAATTCTCCTGCCTCAACCTCCTGAGTAGCTGGGATTACAGGCACACGACACCATGCCCAGCTAATTTTTTGTATTTTTAGTAGAGACGGGGTTTCACCATGTTGACCAGGATGGTCTCGATCTCTTGACCTCGTGATCCACCTGCCTCGGCCTCCCAAAGTGCTGGGATTACAGGCTTGAGCCACAGCACCCGGCCCAGTTTTCTTAAACTTCACTGTAGAAAATGGAAAATACAAAAAAAAAGTGCAAGAACATTAAAAATATCCAGAATTCTACCTCTTTGGATGAATTTATAACATTTTGATGAAAATAATGTGGATGGCTACATAAATGTATATTTAAAATAAAACTGGTATTATATACATTGTTGTTTTGTTGTCTCTTCTTTTTATAAAATATAACAATCTAAATACAAAGCAAGCAAGGGAATCCTTTCATTTAATGGTCTAATAATGCAGAATTTTAATGACGGCATAGTGTTTTAATATGTGGATGTATTATCATTCATTTAACCAAGCAATCATTGTTAAAAATCTATTTCTAATTTTATTTTTTGAGACGGAGTCTTACTCTGTCACCCAGGCTGGAGTGCAGTGGCGTGATCTCAGCTCACTGCAACCTCCGTCTCCAAGGTTCAAGTGATTCCCATGCCTCAGCCTCCTGAGTAGCTAGGACTACAGGCACATAACACCACGCCTGGCTAATTTTCGTATTTTTAGTAGAGACAGAGTTTTATCATATGGTCAGGATGGTCTTGAACTCCTGACCTCAAGTGATCCACCCACCTTGGACTCCCAAAATTCTGAAATTACAGGCATGAGCCACTGAGACTGGCTTACTTTTTACTATTTTAAATAACCTCGAGATAAACATTCTATACCTAGAATTGTATATGTGTATCTGAGAATATTATGTATATTTTTAAAAGTTTTAAAATACTGTAAACTCTTTCTATGGTATTACATATTCTTTTACATCATTTTAAATGCTTAAATAGTACTCCATTTTATGTAGTATGTCAGGAGTTAAGTCATCTGCCACTGGATGTTTACAGTATTGTTTCACTATAATGTAGCTCTGTGGGAGTGCTTAGAGCTTTAAGGTATTGTTTAATGACGAACCCTAAATTATGTATAGATCCTCCCTTCTTGGGTTAATTCATTTATTCAGAGAGTCCTCCAATATTCCTTCTTGGGCCAAACAGGTGAGGCTGCCAGAATTCTGTGTTAGTGGGGTTAGGAGCCAGGGATACCATAGCTCAGCATACTGTCCAAGGAATAAACTTTTAGTCTCCATCGGGGTTGGGGAAGAAGATCTGAGCATCATACTACTACTTAAACAGGCTTGCAGCCAATCCAATGTTTAGGCCCACCTGTACCCCCACTTCCTGAGACACTTGATGCCTCCAATTCCTGAGGCTCTGTGACATTCTGTAGCAAAAACCAACCTGTTTCTGGGTTCTCATTACTGCCACTGTACATGTCTGCCTTTTCTAGTCTGAATTTTTAACCCTTTAGTGAAATTTAAGGGGACTACAGGAAAGAACGGTAGTAAAGATCTGTGTTCTATCCACTGTGTTTTCAGGTTGAAAACTCTTTACATGTTTATTGGCCACACGTATGTGTGACCAGGAGAGATAGAAAAAAGGAAAACCAAGAGTGAGAGCAAATTGTTCCTGTCCTTTGCTCTATTTTCTACTGTGGTGATAATTTTTATTTGTAATACTGCTTCTCATCTTAAAAGATATTAACCGTCTAGTATATATTGAAACTTTCTTTTCCACTAGGAAATCATTGGATAGTGATATAAAAAACTGCTATTTGCACCTTTAAGTCTTGATCAGAAGTCCCAATATTCCTGAGCTGCACTGGTTCCAGAATTTTCAAGGAAGAGGAAACAAAGAAACATTACACAGAAAAAAACCCAACAACAAAAACAAGAATTTCACAGTTGCCACCCCTGTATTAAGTGTTTTGTTATGTTCTGAATATCTGTGTCTCTTCCAAAATTCACAGGTTGAAATGCTAACCCCCAAGAAGATGTGATCAAGAGGTGAGACTTCTGGGAGGTAATTAGGTCATGAGAGCAGAGCCTCTCTATAAAAGAGGCCTAATGGAGTTTGTTAGTCCTTTCCACAGCAGTCTTAGACTGTTAACTAGGAAATGGGCCCATGGAAGATACCAAATCTGCCAGCAACTTGATTTTGGACTTCTCAGCCTCTAGAACTGTGAGAATAAATTAGTATTGTTTATAAACCACCAATTTTTGGTATTTTGTTATAGCAGAATGAATGGACTAAGACAGTTGTCAACCTGAGTTTTTATACAGAGAAAAAAATCTTGTACCAATGGCAAGGCATGGTGGTTCACGCCTGTAATCCCAACATTTTGGGAGGCCAAGGCAGGAGGATCACTTGAGCTCCGGAGTTCAAGACCTGCCTGGGCATCTTAATGACACTCTGTCTCTACAAAAAAATTAAAAAGTTAGCTGGGCATGGTGGTACACACTTGTAGTCTCAGCTACTAAGGAGGCTGAGGCAGTCGAGGCTGTAGTGAGCTGTGATTGTGTCACTGCACTCCCACCTGGATGACAGAGTAAGTCCCTGTCTCAAAAAAAAAAGTATGAAGCATATATCTGTATGGATGTCGGTCAGATCTGCTGAGTTTATTAACTTTTTTTTTTTTGCTTTTGCCAGGATTGAAGAGTTCTTCCATGGATGTGAAGAACAGGTTATATTCTATTCTGCTTGACATATCTACAAAATTGGCAGCCAAGATGTGATGCCAGAATCCTTACAGTTAGTAGTGACAGTTGGTATGCCTGCAAGCAGTGAGGAGAAAACATCTTAATTTTCAAGTTTATCAGGTTGAATTCATAGTGCTGGCACTTGGAAAATCTTGCTTTGACTTATAAATGAAACAAACTGATACAAAAACCAAAAACAGAGAGTAAGTATGAAATAATGTCACATGCTTTTTTCTAACAGTGATCACATTTTCAAAGAAAGGAGAAAATGGAAAACATTGCACTGAAATGATTAGTGTTCTAACCAGATATAACTAAGCACTCATTTCAGAAAAATAAATCTGACATTTCATCTAGCATTACGAAACATATCAGGTCAGGGTGTTGCTCACCCTATACCTGTTGGATTTGAATGGATAAACTGGACTATTTTTGACCAACAATAACAATTTCATATGATTCAACTAACACAAAATATTACCAGATATCAAAAAACTGAAATGTATTCAAAATACAGAGCATGATTTCAAATGGTAAGTCAGTTCCTTCATACTAAGACCACATACACATGTGCATAATTTCTCACAAAATGTAAACCAGCAGGCATTCCTTCTGCCAGGCACAAATGACTACATCACTATGTCACTAACTTCAGGATCCATGAACTTCAAAAACCTTTTATTCAACCTTCTATTATCTATTATAATATTTAAAAAAGGAGAGTTTAAAAGAATGCTACTTTTATATCTCTGCTTCTTGAGAAGATGACAGGTTGAGTTAAAAAAGAATAGGGGCAGGTTAATTAACTCTAATTAACTGAAAATTTCAGGGCAAAACACATAAAGCTCTATCTACCTCTACTATTTTCCATTTACTCTTGTGCAGAAATGCTTTCCCTTTCTTTAATATCTTTTAAACATAAAAGACTGGAAAATTTTAAACATAGGATTTTTATAAAGTGATTAAAACAGCCATTTTGCAGAGAATACGTTTTGTCAAGCTTTCGTTTAGCAAAGTAAATTCTTAGCGAAAATACATTTTTCACTCCATGAATAATGCAGTTTTTTTTCTTTAGAGAAAACAATGTGAAAACCAGGCCAACCTTTTACATTTTTCTTTGGAAAATAATTCCTGAACCTGAAGCTCTAACAATATAGCTTCAAAAATTCAGAAGCAATACATACCACCTTATAATATGGTTTTTGCTTTGCTCTAGCAGAAATCCTCTGAAGTCTCAATCCCCAGCATAATGTCTCCCAGATGTCTCAACTAGTTGCCATGCCAACTAAAGCAGCTTAAATTAAATGAGGGTCTGAAAAGGCACCTGCATCACTCCAGGTCTGTTGCACATTAAATAAAGCTCTCTTGACAGGGACTCAGAGGTGCCATTAACTTTAACAGCATCTATCTGATTATTGTTTCTAAGAAATTTAATGAAGGTCTCCAAACAAGGGTGAAAACAGGGTGTTCCTTCCCTCTCCTGGTCTTTCTAAATGGGACAGCCACTCCAACAGCTGGTGCACCCACTGGGTCAATGAATTTGCTATGGCCCTTTAAGTTACCACTGGATGAAGATAAACTACAGGACCAAAGTTAAGGCTTTCAGGAGAATAGGAGCATATTAACCATCTCTGCTATTTAAATGTGCCATTAAAAATATGATTGTTAGAAACACACTGTGCATGGTATGCCAACCTCAAAGTGATTTGAACAGCCCTACTATAAAACAAATGGCTGCTGATTGCAGCAATTAGTTAAGCAGCTCAATGAAATATGGATTTAAATGTACTGATTGGCTTCAAAAAAACCCTGAATGATGCAATATATTGGCAGTGGAGTTGGGGAGGGAGGTAGCTCTGATGTCTCAGGTGTCCAAGAGAAAACAATGTCTCTGTATTGTTTTAAAGAGTTAATCTTTAAAAGCTTCTTTACTGCTTTCTCACGTTAGTCACTGGAGAACATCACTTAAAAGAAGCATAAGGCCGGGCATGGTGGCTCACGCCTGTAATCCCAGCACTTTGGGAGGCCGAGGCGGGTGGATCACGAGGTCAAGAGATCGAGACCATCCTGGTCAACATGGTGAAACCCCATCTCTACTAAAAATACAAAAAATTAGCTGGGCATGGTGGCGCGTGCCTGTAATCCCAGCTACTCAGGAGGCTGAGGCAGGAGAATTGCCTGAACCCAGGAGGCAGAGGTTGCACTGAGCCAAGAACACACCATTGCACTCCAGCCTGGGTAACAAGAGTGAAACTCCATCTCAAAAAAAAAAAAAAGAAGCACAAATTTGAACTAGAGAGGTTATATCCTTTACCCAAGGTCACAATGCCAGTTAGTAAAAAGCCAAGACTAGCTCAGGTTTCTCTAGTGCTCTTTCCATTCCTACCGAGCTGTTTCCCGTGGAAACTTGCCTTTACAGGTCTGCTATTCCAATTTCTTAGCCAAATATCACCACCATATGCAGGTTACTATGAAATACAAAACAGTTGAATTATTCTTAATTATGGGCAATGAGAAGAAGAAAAGGAGAAAGGATGTTAATGTTTATTTGAAGCTACTATGTGCCACTGTATATGTGATCTCATTTAATCCTCATAACACCTACTTTATAACTACTGTATTTCCATTTAAGAAATAAGCACACTGAGGCTGGGAGAGGTTAAGCTGCTCCACAGTTTGGTTTCAAATCTAGATTGTAATGATTCTAGTCTGACCCTTTCCATGAAGTTGCATTACCTCAATTTGTTTACTATTAAAAGAGAAAATGAAATACATGAGACTGCCATTACTCGAATGTTGCAAAAACCAGGTTTCAAGCAAAATCAGAAAATCAATATTGTATTACATAATGTAGTATTCCTTTCTTTGCCATGTTTTTTCCAAGTGAGAAGTCCCTGCACTGTCTTCATTCTTCAATAAATTTTGAATAGAAGCATGTACAAGATGCTAATTTAGGTATTAGAAATGCAGTGGCGTACAAGATAGCCCACCGCTTTCACTGAGAAACTCAACAGCCTAACAAGGGAGACAGACAATTAAACAAAGCAACCGCAGTTCACTCAAAGATTACAACACTGTTACAGCTATTCATCTCATAAAGCTCCTTAGGTTCTGCTTTTGAACGGAATCAGCCAGACTTGCCATCATGGAGCCACCAGGAATAAGAGCAACAAACTTGCACAACAAAGATATATTGTTCTAAACAGATAAATCTCTAAATTTATGAGAATTACTAATTTCCAATAACTAAAGAGATTTCAACACATGAGAAACTGTCAACAAAAAGCTTTCTTCACCACCTACAAATTTCTGAATTAGATGTGCAAACTAATTGGCAATTTATCTATACTGTATAAAAAACATACACTCATATTTGGTTTCCTAAAATGGTTCATCCTGAAAAAAATTTCTTTAAGCCAGACACAGTGGCTCACACCTGTAATCCCAGCACTTTGGGAGGCCAAGGCAGGAAAATCGCTTATGGGTCAGGCGTTCGAGACCAGCCTGGGCAGCATAAAGAGATCCTGTCTCTACAAAAAAATGTAAAAATTAGCTGGGTGTGATGGGGTGTGCCTATATTCCCAACTACTTGTGCCTGAGGTGGAAGGATTGTTTGAGCCCAGGAGTTTAAGGCTGCAGTGAGCCCTGATTGCCACTGTACTCTAGCCTTGGTGACAGAGCAAGACCCTGTCTCAAAAAAAAAAAAAACAACATTTTAAAATAAACAACATGAAAAGTAATACAAATAAAACGAACATTTACTAAGTGCTCAGTATGTGCCAGACACTTCTTTAAGTACCTTATGTGAACTATTTCTATGAATCCTCACAAAACAAGTAGCAGGTTATGCAAAAGAATGAATTTTTCTCTTTTTGAGGTTTAGTCTTTCCTTTTGGAAGAAAATGAATCCAAAGACACATGAAGTAACTGCTCAATCCACTTAAGTACTTTTATTCATTTCTTCCAGCACCTGAATTTTTAGTCTTAGTTCTATCACTGACAGAACACAACCACAAATAAGAAATAATCCCACGGTTGCAGATGATTTATCTCAGTTTGCTGAAAAGTATTTATGAGCCAACTTTGTGCCACTTTTAATATAGGTAACATACATAGGTCACCTCATTTAATCCTCATAATAACTTGTGGCTATTTCCACATAACAAGTTTAAACTGCTAGTGAAGAAATTTCTGGCTGACAGGACAAATAATGATATCCTTTTGGCCAATGACTGAAAAGAGAAAAGGTTAAAAAAATCAAGAGGCAAATTTTGCTACTTCACCATCTTTGTCTTAGTGTCTCCTTCCACCTCCTGAGTATTCACTTCCTTCAAGTCTTTTTCCTCTTACCCTTCTTTAGTCAAATTATAAAAATAATCTTGACAATACAAGAAACATTTTCCCTGTATTTATGAATCATATATGCTTAAATAGCTTCATATCCCCTTGTATTTATTTGAGTGCATGAGAAGTAAAAAGTTAGCATATATGTGTGTGTATGTATAAATGTGTATAAATGTTTGTCTGCACGTTTATTAAAGAGAAAAAGAACTCCTGGCTACTTTTTTCTGTGTGGTGGGGTACTGGGCCTGGACTAGCAGCCTTTTCCAGAATTTTTTTTAAGTCTAAATTAGATATTGCTGGAAATATAGGAGAGGCCTTTGATGGGAGATCAAAATTAAAAATGTAAGTTTCGGAATCATTAGGTACAGTAAAAAATAATTAACAATTTCTGCTTTCTACTAAATGAAACACTTTCTACTAAATGAAATAACAATTTCTACTTTCTACTAAATGAAATATACCACCTTGAGGTATTTATTTGCATTTGGTTACAATCTTCTTTTTATTAGTTCATCTTTAAAAACTTTTTTTCCATTTCTTTCCTTCTTTTATTTAAAAAAACTGGTTATTAAAATTATGGAATTGTGTCACCACTAATGGGTTTTTAATTCAACTTTATCAACATGACATTCTTCAGAATAATGCAATCAGTGTCAGCAGCTGAATTGTTAGTACATAGTGCCCAAATATAATAAGCAGAACATCCTGCTAGATTCCCACAAAGTTTGCCAAGGAAGAAAATGTTTTCATGGAGGACAGAATTTAAGGCAAGAAAAAGCAAGAAATAAGACACCTTCTGAAGATCAAGGAAAGCAGGTGGGAACATATTAGAGATATCAAAAAGGCAGAGAACAGAGAGGAGTGCTTAGGATTAAAAATAAGCCTGTACAATTTTCTCTGATGCAAAAAAGATTATGGGCAAGAAGACCAGGAAACTAATCTAGAGCCTGGTAGCCAACTACACCTCAGTGATAAGCCTCTCCTGACCTCTTGCTCCAATTAAAGCAGATCTGTACCATGATCAATATTTGTTTAACCCATCTCTATGATGCTGCATCTATTTTAGGAAGTAACTTAAGAATGCATGATAATCAGCCCCACACCAGAAATCTTGACTACTCCAACTGTCAAAGTAATTCTTCAAAAAAGCTGCACAGTCATCACAGAAACAAAAGCTGACATCAAATTCTGACCTTTAATTATAAATAAGATGATTGAGTATGTTTCTGTTTTTAGGAAGTCATGATTACTTAGGCAGTCTCAGAGGCTGCAGGACTGGTGCCAACAACATCTTTGTTTAATCATCATCATTACCATCAATAAATACTGACTGGGTACTAAGTGTGTGTAGAGAGCATGTTAACTCATTGACAAGATGTGGAAAAAGGATGGATGAATGCAAGGCAACAGCCAAGAGGTTGGAAAAAGACTGACGACTGACATTGACATGTAAAAATCAAGGAGAGAGGACAATAAGGCACAAAAAGATTTTAATGTAAATGAACAAAGAAGCTTGACTGAAAAGCTGCTGAAATTTACAATTTTCTGTGTTAGGCATCCAGCTTAAATTTATTTTCCCTTACCTACTCCTAATTACTGTAAGAAGTTAAGTCTCATTATGGGTTT